AAACTGGCAAAAAACATGCTGAACTCGTAAGAGTTAAATTCCCCTAGTGCAAAGCATCAATTTAACGAGCGTGTAGTCATTGAAAACAAAATGAATTTCTATTGAGTTTGACAATAGTGTTTGTGTATAGGCTATTGAATTTCAAACAGCGTTAACGTAATATATTATTAATGACCATTTTTAACCGAAAAAAAATATAAATTGACATTTGTAAGCAAACCCATCACAAGCATTCGTAGCCATTCGTATTTGATACGACGCATTCGCAAGGTATTCGTATTAAGTGCGTGGCATTCGCAGCACTCGCAGCCATTCGTATTTCAATACTTGGCATTCGCAGCATTCGTAGCCATTCGTATTTTAGTACGTGGCATTCGCAGCATTCGCAGCATTCGCGAGAGTCATATGCCCCTAGAATGGCATCAACATTTTATGAACGATTATGTGGAAATCGCGCCTACACTTACTCGAACCTACATTTCAAGCAGCAGCCGATTTCATTCACCATCTGTGGTCATTGATATTAAATGAACATATTGTTGACTTTCATTTTAGAGTGTGCCCTGTACCAATTTATTTATTCGCTATCGCCAATGAATTAATGGTGGCAAATTTTAAACAATTCAAATGAAATAGTCCCCCTGCAAAATGTATTTCAAATAAAACCCAAGCTTCTTTATTTATAAATAAATTTTTATTTTTCAATTGTTTTATTTTTGTTTTGATCGTTTTCAAAATGAAGTAGTTTCAAGAGTTTGCTAGCTTTAGATTAAGCAGTCAGAATAAATTAAAATCTTTTGCAATTCATCGAACACACAAAATAGAATAGAAAAAAATGAAAATAATAATTTGTGTGCATTTATTCAAGTAAAATTAATTAGCACTCAAAATATTCAAAACTACTGTTTTTTTTTTTCAATCCAAGGTATATTGTTGCTATTGTTTTTTTTTTTCGTATAAATCATTTAATAGTTTCCCTTTTTTTCCTCGATAGCCTAATTTTTTCAATAAATAGCTCAGGATGATATTTAAAAATATGAATTTCTGAGTTTTGCGTTTTTACACACGTTAAGAAATAAAATAGATTGATTCAACACAACTCGAATAAATAATTCAAATGGATAGAAAGATGGTGAGATCTGTGTATTAAAAATTGAATGAAAATATTCAAATGGCAAAATTATTAAAAGATAAGAATTGCATTCGATTTCCGTTATAAATAAATTTGGTGAAAAGCAAGAGCACATATTGAAGTGGAGTGTCTTTTTAAACACTTAAAATACTTTGGAATGTAGTTTGTCGCTCTTCAATTGTTTTTTTTTTTTTGCTGATAATTACCCTCGCCATCTTCGATATTCATTTTGTCTCATCTTTGGTGTCTGTCGATGTTTTATTTTCCAGAAGTGACGCTACCATTTGGAGTATTTTATCACCAGTTTTGCGTTCATAATCAAGTCGTTCTCGTTCAACCTCAAGACGTTGTTGTGATACTTCTAATTGACGTTGCTGTAACTGTACCAATTGACTGAGGAACGTTCGGAAGCCGGGCGTTGCTTTTTGTTTGAATGTCACTTGACGTTTGGTCACCGGCTCTGCGTTGCTTGATGAACCTGAGCATAAGTATTTATTAGATGATAGCAACGTTTGGGTCTTAGATGCTTGAGCATTGGCGGCGGTTGTTGAACGCGTTTGGTACGTACTTTGGACTATGTTGTTTGTGCTGTTCTGAACAACAGCTGGTTTTGGTTGAATATTGACTAGAGATCGAGTTGTTAATGGCGTCGATATTATAGGTTTTGCAGCAACGGACACGGTATTCGATCCGGATACACCATTTGGTTTTTGAAGTGTGTTCACAAGTAACACTTTCATTGGCATGCCATTGTTGGTTGTAGTCAATACGGTACCACTGCTTCCAGATGGCTTTGCACAAATGAACTGCTGAGGTTTGAAACTGAATTGAGTTGTTGTCGCACTCGATTGTACACTGGTCGGTGGCTTCATTAAAATATTCGTCGGTACCAACGAAACTGTAACAAATGTGTAAATATTAGAATTTTCTATTTTCGATTTATGATTTAGCATAATATCACGACAACAAATAATGTTCAATTGTGAAATCGAAAATGTGGAATCAATGTTAGAGATCAAAACATCACATACTTTTACTACCACTAATCGTTGCTGTGCTACTCGATGCAGTAGTGGTTGTCGTTGAACTGGATATTGTCGATGAAGCACTTGTGGTTGCTGACGATGCTGTGTGACCTGTCGGCGAGGCTGGTTCAGATATCGGTGACGATGGTGGTGATGTTTTGATATCAAGTAACAACGGCGATTTGCTGGTTGCGCCCGCGTTCGGAGCTCCTTTTAAGGCTGAATTGCTGGCTAATTGCAAATACGCCGATAGTTTCGGGAAAATATCATTAACATCGTCAATTTCCTGGCTGCAAAATGGGAAATTTCAACAAAACCAATAAAAAAAATTACAAAATAATTTCCAAAAGCAATAATGTCATTTTCGATTCGACCAAATCAAATCAAATCGTTTTCGCTGATTGTAAAATGAATGACATTGAGAAATTCACACACATACACACATAGTTCCTTATTAGTGGCACTTACTCATTTCGGTCATTGTCACCATCGCCGCCAATCTCTTCCATGTCATCAATATCAATTGGTTCTTCTTTGGGCACAATTGATCCATCCAAATCAGTCATGCTGTCATCATCCATTTCTTCCTCTTCCACTGATAGTAAGTCCTCGGGTCTTAGGTCTTTTGGTTCTGCATCGTCACCATTTTTCTGTGCATTTTGCAAATGTGGCTGTTGAACGCGGTTACCAAATATTGGTCGTGTTAAAATTTCATCCCTGTATGTTATTGAACAAAGAATAAAAACACAAAACACAAACAGTAAATATTTATTATTTATATGTATATATACAAACAGTAAATGCACGAAAACACGAGTCTGGTTTATGTACACTAAATACGCACATCGCTGTATAATGTCTCCATGTAGGTTCGGTCGTGACTCCCATCTCAATATCCTTTTTGATGCGATTGTAGAAACATTTTAGATTTTTTATGCGTGTATTTATTTCTTCCGGTGACCGATGATACCCATGCTCACGCATACTTTCTGCCAATTTCGCAATCACCGGATGCTTTTTGTGTGTAGTTATCAATGTTTTTTGCACTTTTGGATCACCCCATAATGAAATCAACAATTTTGTTTCTTCTGTTTCAAAATTTGGATTACGTGCATGTGGCTTTTTCATGGCACCACCGATGAGAACTTTATTGTTGCTTATCCACATTTCACACTTTCGCCGACCAACTTTATTTCTCATATTATTTTTCCCAACTACGACCGCCTGTCTGTCATATGCGTGACTTACATACACGCGCGCACTGCACACAAAACCATACACAAACGGACACGGAACGGTAACGTGTATTTAGCTCACAGCAACGGTACTATTTGATTTCATTGTGTATCCCTATTTTTTCATCAAATATACACAACGTTTTCAATAGTTTTTTTTTTCAGTTCGTTTTTGTTCTGTTCTTCTCGGCAAATACACTTTGATGTAAATGTCTCACTTAGAAAAAGATAGATATAAAGAAACAGAGAGTGATTGAGTGAGAGTGTGTGTGCAATTGTATTTGTGTCATGAGGAGACGCAATGCCGCTGCGCGCACACATACAAATTACGGTTGGTTTGAGTGGTTTTTCCCTGTTTGTCAGTTGCAGATGAATAGATGGTAGACACTTAGAGTTTTAGGTAAAAATCAACCGACGCAAATTCACTAGAAATGTAGCAAAGTCACTCAACTAAATACCCAAATTTAATTTAATTAGTTTGTTTCAGCTCCACTTTTACATAATTTTCTTGATGTCACAAAAATTTATCCTTACATTTTTTTAAGTAGGAAATGTTAAGAAAAATTAGTATTTTCTATTTGGGAAAATTTGCTGAAATGCGTGAGTTGTCCCAGTTTGCGCGCGTCGAATGCAGCATAAAGAACGAAACTGCACAGATTAAATGGAATAGGCTTATGCTAAACCCTCTATATTTTGTTTTGGTTCAGTTCCTTAAATCTGGCTCTATGCGCATGTCTCTCAGTATGCCTCTGTATGGGTTTATGACAATGCTCGCCGCATCTCTCTTTCGATGAGTATGCGACGCGTCGTCGATTCTTTAGTGTGGTCGTTGGAAATGTGTTCGTTCATGAAACAGATAGGGAGAGAGAGAGAGAGAGAGAGAGAGAGAGAGAGAGAGAGAGAGAGAG